GCTTGAAGCTGTATTGTGCCGTTTGACCAGAACCAGTTTCGTTCTGGGGGCAGATAGAGAACCTGAAAGAGTCCACCTGCTCTCCAGCTGCGCCACACCTTCGCTCTCGCGAAATTTGGCCGAAGTCAGGACATGGCAGACCTGGCCTTCCTCTTGTCTCGACCTGTTCCCGAATATCTGCCGCGTGTTCGATATTGCGTTCATCACTTTCTTCTTGTATTATACTTCCATTCGACCACAACAGACAAGGGTAAACGAGTTTTCCACTGGCCGCTTTGTTGCCACTTTGCTCGTTGAAACTTGTAGGGCTCGCTGCCGACGGTCACGGCTGGATATCAGCCGCTTGAGGTGTTGTGCGATCGATGTATGGTAAGTAGTCTGACGAGATCGGACATTTTCTGGTAAGGGGCCAGAAGAGGTTTCTTTAGATAATCCGTCTCCTACAGGTATGGTAGGTTCACGAGATTCTTGGGATATGTCACTCCGGTAGTTGGCGCCATCCGCAAAAAAAGCATCAAGGAACCAAGTGCGCCCACTTCTTCTCTGACTCATTCGATGAACTGTTCTCTCGCATCGTGATCGGAATACTGGCGGGAGTATTGGACTCATTTGTGGCTTGGAGCTGTAACCAAACTTCTGGTCGACTTCCTCGTCTCTGCATCTGGTGCGATCTACGCCTTCTGATCATTCTGACACAGCCGTAGATGGTCGGGATGTTGGCCACGAAACAGGAAGCAGCTATTTGCACAGAGGCGAAGAAGCTGCGCACTGGTTGGTACGATTGTTCGGCATAGATATAACCAATGCGAACCAGAGTTATGACGATGCAGAAAACCCCTAGGCAGCATAAAATCCCAACTCTAAGCTGCTCACCGAGGTTCCGCTGGCGAACTGCAGCGAGGAGCGGGTATGATATTGCCAACAAGAGTAGATCCAGGACAATGTTTGAAATTCCTTGAACAAGCAGCTGAATATACGCTTTGATGCATGTTCCCGGGTTGGGTTTGACCTGCCAATACAGACGAAATGGTTGACACTCGAGAAAAGTTGCCAGGACCACACCGACATAGGTGACAGGAATGGCAATCCAGCAGATTCGAATGAGCCTGGTGGTCCATTTTGCCCTGATTTCGAAAATTCGAGAATAGAACAGCAACAGCAAGGAACTCTGAAGCCAGCAGATGGTGGTGATCAAGAGTCGTGCGATAAGAGATAAAATGCTTCCGGTCTTGAGATTTTGAAGGTCCTTGGAATCGAAATATGTGGATTTGCCATTCAGAGCATCGTTCGAGGTCCCGAATGTAAGAACGTACTGGTTCACAATAAGGCGAACCACGACTGCGACGACCGAAGCGACACAGACGGCAGTGCTGCGGTCAAACGATCCCTGGTGTATTCTCGCTGCGATGATGCGGGCAACCAAGATCAACAACGAGGCACCTGCACAGACCCATCCTCCGATTTTGGCTTCTTCAGAAGAGACAAGCATTATAAGTCACATAGCCAACCCCGGAACCAGTGGTTTGACAGAATGTAATCTTAATAGGTGGTGGAACAAGACGCATCTTGAACTTGTGATTCGAAAGGTGTCTGCTGGAATGTTAAAGGTGTGTCCATGACTGCCTCGAAGAAGCCAAAAACGGTGTATGTGTGTGTTGTGTGCGTGTCGGGAGATATGTATGTACCGAGGACTCGTCAGTGGAGTGAGTGACTGAGTTGATGAGCAGTTCCCAAGAAGAAGGAGGCGGGTAAACGGGAGACCCAGAACATCCAAAGTGCTGACCACCAAACCCGGAACAAGGGGATGAGTGGGACGTATCTGGCCGACTCGACAGATACTGCTGGGTAACTGCTAGTGATGGCTCCAAACAACCATCCCTAATGATCCTTTCCGGCCTCTAAGGACTAAGTCCAAGCTAGCCCCCAGGCTAGCGGGGCGGCCATCTCAGAGACCCCGGCACTCGCCATTCAACCCCTACCGATGCGTGTGATGCTTGCACGGCTTCTCGCCTACCCCCTTCCCCCACAGTACCGAGAAATATCTTTCCAAGAGCCGCGGTTTAGACAGGAGTGCTTCCTCAACGGGGGATGTGACTTGCGGGTCTCTCTGCTGGGAGCAAAGGCCTCTGTGGTTATCCGGATTGATCGGCATTGCTCTCTGGCAGAACAGCCACACAGACAGGAAAGGACACTAAAGTCGGAAATACCAGGAAAACAAAATTCACGAGGCCGCGTTTGAAGGACTGAAATGGTTATGGGCTGCGTTCTCTAGGATTGGGTGGTGGGAAAGCTCACATAATCGCTAGATGCTTCAGAGTTCGTTGCAAAAAAACCATCTCTGGTCACAACCGTCTCGCTAGAGAACATCCCACCAATGCGGTCTCTAAGAACTCCGTAGGCTGCAGAAACGAGAAAGCTTCGGTACGAGTTCTCTTCGCTTCGTCAATACCTTTGTCCTGTGTAGGTGGGAAACTCGGAAACTCGAGGTTAAAACATCGCAGGGCATGTTATCTAGGCTGCATGCGGGCATCACCCAGGCATGGCAATGAAGCCAAATGAAGGAGTTGTCGACGCAGGGGGTAGTTTGTGCAACCTGAATACGAGACTGCTGGCAGAAAGTGTCCCAGCATTGCAAAGTCTTGAGACCAACTGGTAGGCAAATGTCGCACTACTGACTTACAATACGAGGACCGGGTTTGGTAGCTGTTGTTACTGGCCCATCTTTCGGATTGACAGGGAGGAGTTTTAGATGAAAGCGGCATACAGGCGAGGTTGATGTGCATACATGAATACAGAACCACGGCGGACGGTATCAAGAAGTTTAGTTTGAGAACTCGATCTGATTACCAGGGTTGCGTAGGATGTATGTGTGTACTCCGCAGGCAAGGACAAATTCAGATACAGGAGTTGAAAGTCAGCCAGCGGCGAATGTTTTATTGGGTGTAATAATTATAGCTTGCAGCGAGCTGCAGTCTCTCAGTGTCTATTGTGTCGGAACGGAGTTCTGGCAGAAATGACCGTCTGACCGGTTCTAATTAGTTTTAGAACGAACGACGCGTTGCTCGAAAAGCGTGTTCGCGACAGCCAAAATCTACATCAATGCGCCACACCTTGGTAAAGAAATCGTCACTGGCAGTTCATCCCAATTTCACATCTTTTTGTCGCTCTTCTGGGACAGAACTCGCTAGTCTCATCGTTGTTTCAGAATCGCATCGTACAACTACGCGTCTGAGATGAATTAGAAGCGCACTCCGGAACATCTCCAGTATGGCTGCGCCTTCCGAGGAATGTGAGTGTTGCGCTGCGCTACGAGAAAAATCTCTGCTAATCGAATCAAAGTCTCGGTGAACGCAAATGAAGCTGTTCGCATTTCTATCGTCCAACCCAGCGCGAACAACAAGCTCATCACTCGGCACGAATTTCATCCCAAATTCACCTATCCCATCGTTGGAGAGGCAGAGCAGATCTTCGGTTACAAAGGGCTGGATATCGATATTCAATTCGCAGCTCATAATTTGCGACCACATATCAACATTTCCTATCAAAAGAAGTTTAGCACAATCGGTACCACAAGCGCCCTCGATCTGAACAAAACCTTCAGCAATTTCCTACCCCCGACAGCATTTGAACAAGGGTTTGAGTCAGAGTTGCTGAGCGACTCGAAAGCGGCACAATGGACACCTCCAGGTGTGTGCGTAAAGAAGTACACAAGAGGCGGAGAGAACTATGAGGTGTGGGCTGGCTCATTACTAGACCTTCCAATGAGAACCCTGGTCGACAATATCCAAATATTCATTGTCTTCTTTATTGAAGGTGGACAGTTCATCAATTTGGAGGATGTCGACTGGACCTTGGATCGATGGAGGGTCTATCTTACCTACCACAAGGCATCACAGCCCCCGGCGCCCAGGGCATCTCCATATTCGTTTGTTGGCTATGCAACAACCTACCGCTTCTACAAGTTCCAGAAACCGCCAAAGGATCATAAACCCCTCTCGTTCCCGCCGTCAGAAATTATTACGCCTAACACTCTTCCGTCGCGGCTTCGAATATCACAATTCCTGATCACACCCCCTTTCCAAAGCTCTGGTCACGGCTCAGCTCTTTATCAGGCTATATACAATGAGGTTATGGCAGATCCGACTGTTTTGGAATTGACTGTTGAGGATCCAAGTGAGGAATTCGACAAATTACGCGACATGAATGATTTTGACATTCTAGAACCACAGTTCAAAGCAGTCAATCTCAAAATACATACGTCACCTTTTGCCAGCCAGGAACGAGGACGTTTGAAACGCATACCGACTGGCAAATTGCTCCCTCTAGATGAGCTCCAGGCTATTCGATCCAAAAATAAGATCGCAAGTCGCCAATTCGCCAGGATGGTCGAGATGTATCTTCTGGCCCAAATCCCATATTCACATCGTGCAGCCGGTGGTGCCTCCCTCACTAGCCTCATGGTTAGAGGTGCCAGAGCCCCCAATCCGGACGACCGCACATATTATTGGTGGCGACTGTTACTGAAACAGCGCATCATCAAGAAGAATAAGGATCTGCTCCAACAAATCCCTTTGGAAGAGCGACTGCCCCAAATCGAGGATAGTGCGCGTGCTCAGGAAGATGAATATGAAGGCCTCATTCTTTCGTATGCACTGCGAAAAGAGAGAGAAGCTGATCGGCCTGAAAATGGAGAGTCATCGGCCGTCGTGCGGAAGAGAAGGGTGATTGAGGACGACGAGGACGAAGAGTCGTCGAGCGGCGAAGCTTCCCGGTCTAAACGACCTAAAGTCTAACGAAACGACGTCGTCATTCTTCCTTTGCGCTTGTCGACTGTGCGTACTCGAGCAGTTTGGACGGCTCATGTTTGCCCCCTCAGGACGCCGCCGCATATTTCAATGGCAAGTTTGATTGTACTCAGTCGCGGTAACCGACCCCAGGACTTTTGGCCCAGAGACGGAGGATGAGGATAACCATGACATGGTAGCACAGAGCGTGGATTTTCAGGTAGCGAGAGCTCGATGATAACAGACGAACTGAAGACGTTCTTCAGCTTCTTCTCCAGCAATGACATGCTCGTCTTCACCCAGAAATGCACCCTCTTCCCACATTTTGTCTAATTCCTGATCATCATCACCCGTGACAGCCCAGACACTTTCCCGTAGTCGTTTGTTCCGCTCTCTGTCCTCTTCAATCCGCTGCTCGATTGCCCGCTTATCCATCCTCGACACACCGTTTGGCTTGCTGGAACGTTCTGCTCCGGTCCGCGGCGTTGGCTTCTGAGCACCGTCGCCCGCACCGCCCTCGGCAGCAGTCACGTCCATAGCATCCTTGCCGGCTGCTGCTTCGGGCTCGCCATCCTCGTCTCGGAGGAGGTTCCCCAGCTTCTCCTCCTTGTCCTTGAGTCCACTCTCGATCGTGCCGATGACTTGGGCGGAGAGAACGCCCTTCTCGCCCAGTCCCGTGACGACGCGCCTCACGACCTTGACGTTGGCGCCGCTCTGCGCGACCGCGTCCACGATCCGCGCAATGTCCCTCTTGACCATCTCGACGTAGGCCTCGTGGCCGCCCTCCTTCATGTTGATGTCGGCGTGGTGTTCGAGAAAGTACATGATGTTGGCGCGGTTGTTCATGTTGGTGTTGCCCCGCTCGAGGTTCTCCAGGATGCACGAGTGCAGGTCTTCGTCCATGTCCCGGTGTTTGAGCGCGTAGTGCGCCGTCTTTATGGCCGCCGTGGCGGACGCAGAGAGGTGCGTGAGGAGATTCGTGAAGCGCATGCGCACTTCGAACGGGTCGGCCATGGTGCGCAGGATCTGCGAATGCTGTCCTAGCCGCTGTATATGCGTAGAAAGGGAAGCGATCGATCGCGGCGCAGGAGAGGACGGGCAGGGTTTTGATACGGCAAGAAAATGTTTATGCAAGTCCCCAACGTGTTCGTGGGTGGTTCACATGTTCCACTCTTTGGGTCGGGGAAGAGCAAACACAGCGAATTCAAGTTCGCTGCGCATGGGATCGTCCACCTGTTACCAGTGCTGGTGGGGTTGAAGGCGATGTTCCTTGTCGAAAGCGGTACTTCGACCTGGTGTAAACTACGCGAAACAGCAATGCGGTTGAACTTCGTGCGGGAATACTTGCAAAGGGTCGGAGAGACTCGTGGCAACAAACAAATCTCGTGCCTATTGGTGTGCCTTGCAGACGGATTTGGCCGATTAATTCTTGTCTTGAAAGGTCCTCTCCGCTGGTGCCACTTCCGCCCTTCGAGGGAAAAAAAAGTTATATCCAGCAGTCATATCTTCCCCGCATTCTCTCTCAGCAAAAGATCGTGCAAGATTCATTTGAGACTCGCCCAATATAACAGTATTACTTGTGTGGCATATTTTTCTTTCAGAGGACATTAATCTCCTATTATCAGATCAAAGACCTCGTGCATCATGTCCGGTGTGCTGCGCGTGCCCAATGGCATCAATAGTGACCCTTCCGGGGGAATGACACTGACGATTCTCGGATGTGGTGAGTATTTTGCGTGAGAAAAAGCTCCTTCAACCACTGTTTCTCTGCTAGATATGTTTACTGACTAAAGGTTGGTAACAAGGCACTCTCGGGATTGCCATCCTCAGTGGGATCCTCTCCTCCCTCTCCGAATCCTCTGCCTCACATGCTCCATCTCCTGCATATCCCGACTCCGGCACCGCAACTCCCACCACCGAATCTCCCCCACAGCGTACACCGACAAACTTCATCGCCTGTGTGCGTCGTCCTGAATCGGCGAAGCGCGTCAGAGTTGCGGTCCAATCGTACCGGCCGAGTGTGACGGTCCTGCAGAACGAAAACGTCAAGGGGACGCAGAACGCCGATGTGGTTATCCTGGGATGTAAGCCATATATGGTCGCCGACCTTCTGCGCGAGGAGGGGGTGAAAGAAGCCCTCGCCGGGAAACTTCTGATCTCAATCTGTGCTGGTGTTCCCGTCGAACAAATCGGTCGGGTCCTTTACGGCGAGTCATATCCAGAGGGCATCCCCGACAACGCCTGCCGGATAGTAAGAGTCATGCCCAACACCGCCGCGATTGTGCGCGAGTCCATGACCGTCATCGCCAACTCCACCCCTCCCTTACCTACCGAGTTATCGTCGATAGTTGAGTGGATATTCACGCGGATCGGCCGAGTCGTGCACCTTCCACCAGGAATGATGGACGTTTCCACCGCCCTGTGCGGTTCTGGGCCCGCATTCCTCGCACTGATGCTCGAGTCTCTTGCGGATGGCGCCGTCGCAATGGGCCTCCCTCGTGCAGAGGCTCAACTTATGGCTGCGCAGACGATGCGAGGGACGGCAGGGATGGTCCTGTCCGGGGAACATCCTGCGCTGGTGAGAGAGAAGGTGTCTACCCCCGGAGGTTGCACGATCGGTGGGTTGTTGGTGTTGGAGGAGGGCAGGGTCCGGGGAACAGTGGCGAGAAGTGTCAGAGAGGCGACAGTCGTCGCAGCGCAGCTGGGTAAGGGCGTTAGTGGCGTCAACGGGACGAGATTTGAGAGGCAATAGAAGAGGTCAACAGTGGAACATTTGGACAGAATCATTTGGGCATACCAGCTGAGCTTGGGGTAAGCTACGGAATCATGAACATTTTGCGAAGTACAACAACAGTTGACTTGATGCATCATGACATGGCAAAGTGTTCTGCTCTTTACGCTGTCAATGCGCAGGACGAGCGGGGGTCGAAAAGTTTGGCACATATTCCTGTAGATGACGAGCAGACAGCCCAACTCCAGCAGAGCCCTTGCACCTCACAAGGCGAATGAAACGATCTGGCTTCTGGAGTGGCACATGAATCTTGAATTGTACATTTTTCGGATCTTGTCCAAGTCTCCCTGCAAGCCCACAGTATAGTTACAAACGTCTCCAGCAGAATATGGGTTCCACGTAGACAGCCCGGGGTAGAAGAATGCTCGATCGACTCCGGTAGCGCACTGAATGCGTATCCTCCAACTCCGGCTCCCATGCAGCACCTGTAGACATCTTTCATGTGTTTCGTGCTGCCATTTTACCTCTGAATGGGCTGAAACGAACAGGCACCGAAAGAATGGGTGTCCTGAATACCATCTCTCCATCTGCTCTTGCTGCCACCTGCTTGTCCTTACGACATGGACACAACAGCACCCAGAGCCTTCATGGCCGCGACAATTTTCTCTGCATCCTCCTTGGGCACGCCCTCTTTCATCACTTTGGGTGCACTCTCGACGAATTTCTTTGAATCCACTAAACTCAGACCGAGCAATCCTTTCACTTCCTTAATGACCTTGGGCTTGGCAGCAGCATCGAAGGAATCGAGCTTGAGTGTGAACATCGTCTTTTCAGCGGGGGCAGGCGCGGCTTCTTCTGCTGCCTCTGCTTCGGCAGCCGGAGTTGCAGCAGCACCGCCAGCAGCAGCGGTCGGAGCAGCGAAAGCCATGTCAGGAATATTGAGCCGTGACTAGAATTGTCCATATTAGCCCAAGTTCGAGGAGGACTACAATCAGGGTCTTTGCGAAACAGGGCGCGTGGGCCGCCACAGGAAAAAATGATGTTTGAACATACCTTCAAGCTTGCAACAAGATCTGCTGTCTCCAGCAATGTTAACTGTGATATTTGATCCACAATCCCAGCTATCTTAGGGTTTGTAGGCGTTGCAGCTGCATCCGTCGACTGCCATCTCCGCGAACATTGTGAGGGTCCTAAGCTATTCCTTCGTCTATGCTGATTTGCGGAGCTGGTGGAGGAAAGTCGGAGGCACTGGGAGGAAAGGCTGCGTTTTTGCGTCCGAGCTGCCAGCTGGCAGCAACGATGGGCGACTGAAGGAAGTTTCGCCGACATCGTGGACGAGAAGAAATGGGGAGAGGGAGAAGAAGGACTCGTGGAAAGCGTGCGAGGAGTGAGTATTGAGGCGAGGCGATAGTATCGAATCTCGAGAAATTATCTCGCGATCATCCACGCATTGACAACCAGATCGTGCCAAGCGGCACGTGACCTAACCAAGACTTGGAAACCAACCATCAACATCGAACATCATTCCTGTCTTTCTTCCTGGACGACAAAAACTGTGGCCAACTGGGAGTCGCGGTCACTGTTTCGCTGGTAGTCAATATCCCGCATGGGATCACTGTCATCGGAGTCCTCTATAGGACAGCGCTTCTGTACCTTGAGTAAATCGCCACTATCCCATCCTAATCGCCTAAGCCATTAATCTTTCATCTCTTCGAAATCAAATCATGGAAGACGTTCCAGTCTTCAGAGCTACGAAGCGTAGGAAGTTTGTACGACCCCAGCAAGGATCATCCGCGGAATCCCCCGAGGCAGCGTCTCCTAAGGTGGTCGATGTGCTGTCTCGCGGCGGGAATGAGAGTCTGGGTGACGATGACGATGAAGACGATGGCGGTGTTTCGAGTCTATTGCGTGCACGGAAACACGTTCGAAAGGTTGTATCCGGTGTTCAATTTTCAAATACGAAAGTCACGCAACAGTCCAGAGAAACCACGGGCATGGAGGTTGTCAAATCAGATCAGGATGTCGACAAGGCTATAAACATCACCAACCGTTTTGTCGGAAGCACAGGGCAGGTCGTCAACGTCGATCAACATATGTTCGTGGCCCCCTAAAGATGCCCAGTATTGGAGACATAGTTAGCTGACAAGATAAGGGTTGCGTTCATAGATTCCGAAATGGCTAGAAGACGGCACAATCTCGTCACCCCTTCAACTCTGCCGCAGGCAAGTCCAGAGACCGACGTATATCACGATGCTCCATCGTTCGGTGAGGCTGGGTCGACGGCCAAGACAGCATCTACAACGAAACCCACGTCTACCCGCCAGCTGGCCGAAGTCGACCTCGGAGATTCTGTGCACGATACTAACCTAGCCCGCACGCAAGCTGCGCTTGAACGTGTCAAAGCTGGCCAAGCCCCGGTCGAAGAAGTGGACAAGCCACCAAAGCCTCGAAAACCACGGCTAGGCCGAGATGGCAAGCCCATGAGGCCGCGGCCTAGAAAGCGAAGAAACAGCGAAGACATCGCGCGAGATGCTCTTGTGGAACAATTCCTCCACGAAAACAAAATAGACCTCTACGACACGAACACGCTAGGACTGGCAAGCGTCCAGCCGCCTGGTGACGAAGCTGCTGAAGATGGTGGTACGGACGATCGCTTTGCAGAGCAATTCCGGCAGGATTTCATGGATGCAATGGCCGAGAGGAGGAACAGGGCCAGACATGCACATCAGCCAAAGGCATCAACGGGTGTCACAACAGAGTCAAGGGGCCCAAAGTTGGGAGGCAGTCGAAGCGCACGAGCGAAGATGATGCAATGGCAACAGCAGCAACGACAGCAAGGGGAGTCAGCAAAGAAGTGAGGGTATTCTGGCCGGCATGATGGGTCGAATTTGCGATGACAATGAGCCCTTGAAACCTTTGAATCCCTTGCCAGCACATTGCAAGTTGCCCAATGAAGAATATGAGACATGGTGGTGGTCAGTATGAGTGCAATCACCTCTGACCGCAACCAGCTGCATGTAATCTGCCTGCTCACAGTTGTACTGGTACTGATAAGTGTCACCATGATCAATCTTCTTCCCCGTTCCTTGGCACAAGGCCAAGTCAAAAACGATGAAAAAGAAGGGCTGTCCAGAGGACAACAGTGAAAAAAAGTTTCCAAAAATTGCCAAAAACTCAAGTCCCAGAGAGACAAGAATTTTGGTGTGAAGAGTTTCCAAAAATTGAGAAAAAAAAAAAAACCGGTCCCAGAGAGACAGGTTTTTTTTTGTGTGAAGCAAAAATTGCAACACGTTAAGTCCCGAGAGACTTGAAGAGTTTCCAAAAATTGAGAAGAAAAAAAAACCAGTCCCAGAGAGACAGTTTTTTTGTGTGAAGCAAAAATTGCAACACTGTAAGTCCCAAGAGACTTGAAGAGGTTCCAAAAATTGAGGTTGAACAACAAATTGTTCAATGGGTCTGCACCATCAATGCTGGCGAACAGAGCATGCCTTACAGTGAGAGAAGCCTCTAGGCAAGGAATTGTTTGTGGTGGAACATTCCTGGATTGCCATCATCGAGAACAACCCAAAAAGCCATTGGGGACTTTGACGTACTGAGATCGCACCCTCCACCGGAATGTCCAAGATGTCGGATCACGGGTGGAAATAGCCGTCTAACAAGACACATTCCCAGTCGTGTAGGGAACTCGGGACACAATGCCAGACCAATGACCCCTTTGTCGGCAGGGACAGGAGTTGGTGTAACTCCGCTGATACCCACAGAGTTTGTTGATCAGAGATGAGCTGTGTCCTCCTTTTCAGCGTTCGGAGGAAACTCCAAGACTACCAGCTCACGATGGAGATGACATGGCGGTTGTCCTGAAGCTCAAGCAAGCATCAAATCTGCAGGCGGCAAGGAGGACCAACTCGGAGAGAAAAACAACAGGCGGAGAGTGTAAGGCCAGAAGCTTGACTCAACAAGTGGCGTGTGTAGCCAAGACACATCTGAACATGAAGCTCAAAGATTGTGTGCACAACAGATCTTGATCTCGATCGACTGGGTGATGGAGAGGAGGAAAGGAAGGGAAGTCCGTTTGAAGGAGAGATTCCACAGATATTTATGCCCGTTCATCTGAGCAACTCTCTTGGCAGGACTCTGGCTTAGTGTGGTAGCTTTCAATGAGGACTTGGCGGACTCAGTGGAACTTGGCGGATTCATTGAATTGAATGGGCAAGAGGATCGGGCAGTTTGAGCGAGGTGCGGCAGAAGAAGTTGATGTGTTGAAAGCATGGTTGATGTTGATGTTTATACGTGTCATGTGACGAGGCTGCAGCCTCGCGCATGTTTACGGCACAGGAGAAAGAGAGACACCATCTCCAAAAGTCAAAATCAGGGAAACAGAGACACACGGGGTTGTTCAAGGATGTCAGATACACAGGAACACAGGGTGCTGGGACTACGTTTCCTGGACTTGGGTCTTTTACACCTGAGATCGAGGAGAATTACAAAAGCAAACGAGTCCACATCACGCTTCAGCAGGCAGAACGGCGGTTTATGGCAGACTTTGCGGGATCATGTACACATGGATGATGAGGAATGGCTTGAGCACAACGAATCGAACAATCACTGAATGTTGCAATCTGGCAAGGAAGGCCTTAATTTGCTCCTGTCAATCGAGGCACAGTTCCATGGCGTGTTGGCTAGAGACCCGCATACTCTCTCAGACTTCTACGAACTTCAGTGCTGGAACCAAGACAACATCTCCTGGAGGGCATCTGCCAAAATTCATGGACAGAACCCGCCGAGATTCAAGTATCACTCCCTCCTGAGAGTGAGTGAATTGTCGTCGACTCCTTGGCGGAAAGATCTCTACCTCACCCTCTACCAACCTCTTTGATCTGCTTGGCGAGCATGAACTTGAACATCACTTAATGAAGTTCCTCTTCTAATTCTCCTGGAATTTTCTTTTTCCTTTCCTTCTCTCTCTCTCTCCATCACCCTTCCCTTCCCTTGCCTTGAGGGCAATTGTGCTTGCGCAAGACCCCCTCAAGGCAAGGCACAGGACAAGTCCTCCTCAATAGGGCTCTGTCTACATTCCCAGCAACAGTTTCCCCCCTTCCTGTCATTTGTTCTCAAAGTTTTGCTGACGTGCTATAGGAAGTCGCGCAAGGGCGGCTCACAGCGCCACTGACACCAGTACAGGGACACGTCCAGCCCATCTGGAACTCACCGACCTCGAACACTGATCACTGCCACGTACCGGGTCATGGTAACGCCGACCGACCAATTCCACAAACCTCCACGAGACCCACGATCGATCGAGACACGATTCCAACCCTCGTACGCCGCGAGAGGACGACTTTCTCCTCCTCCTCCTCCTCCTCCTCCTTATCCCCCCTTCCCCCCCCTTCTCCGCCCACACACGAGAGAAACACAAGTAAGTTTATTTTCTCATCCATGTCTTCACTTCCAAAACACTAACTTGTCACATCAGGCAGACGGAGTGATGGATTTGGGAGCACCAGTGGTGGCATCTGGACAGTGGGGGTTTGGTAAGTGAATTTGAAGTGAAATCAACCTTGATGTGAAACTGATTTTGAGTCCTTGCAGGTGTGGTTTTCCCCTTCTGCACGCTGTGCAGATTAGGTGGGAACACCATGGCCAGGTTGCAGTCACAAAAGCCTGAGACCAAAAAAAACAAAAACAAAAAAAGAGAGAAGATGCCCAAAAAGGAAGGCACACGATCTCAAAAACAAAAAAAAAACAGGCCATGCTATCAAAAAAAAAGGCCAAAGTGCATTTGTCACAAGCACAAAAGATAGCAAAACAACAAAAAGTTGTTTGAGTGAGCAAGGGTTCTGAACAAGCCTGGCTTGGAAGGACGTGTTGGAGTGGTGTTGCATTGTCAGTCAGTGTATATATGGATTGCAAAGTGTTGGGAAGGATGGTATGGGAACATCAAGGAAGAGGGCGCAAAGAAAGAAACACGGATAGCACGACACCAAAAAAAAAAGATCACCGAGCGGGAAGTCAAGTCAAGTCAAGTCAACCACAACCACGACAACGACAAAAGTATGGGAAAGCTCGAGTGGCAGGAGGAACAAACTGCATCCAGAACCGACAGCATCAGCAAACACAATCAGAGGCGCAAGTCACTCGGCCTCTTCGGTTCAGCATGGATCGCCCACAGCCAAAGAAAAGGAGCATTGAGCGGGACGCACGGTATGGGAAAGCTCTTTGCCTGGAGGACAAGGACGGTGGAGACCCAACATTGGGCTCCGAAGAGAGAGAGAGAGAGAGACGGACAGTGCAAAAGGGACAACGAGCAACTGCGCGGGCTGCACGGTATGGGAAAGCGCATTGCCGGAGGAGCAGAGCCGTGTGGGCACAGGGGATATGGACACAGGGTCAAGGGGATTTTGAGTTGAGCTGAGCTCAGCGTGGGCAGGACATGTGCAGGGCACAGTCAAGGCAGAGTCAGACCAGTTGGACTAGGACCAGGGCATTGTGGTTGTCAATGTGGTTGTCATTGTCATCGTTGGATGGAGAGCCTTGGGAAGGACTCGGAGGAATTTAGATAGACGGCGGCGGGCATGGCGGGTTGGCGGGCGGGTTTTCCATGCACGAGAACCACGTTTGGTGGTGAAGGGGGGGGAACTCAATTGGAATTGACCAGGTCCTGCAGGGATGGATACGCTCCGAGACATATGTCTGGAGTGAGGAACGAGTACATAGATACGAGATGTCGTCTTTCAATCCCTTGTGGACGCACTCATACACACCAGTCAATCAATCAGCTTGGGATGTCATCCATTCATCCATCCACCACCACTACCACCACCACCACTTTGTTCCTGCCAGTGAGTGATACATATCGTATTTTCCCCAATCGAGTGCTTTTGCCATGCTTTCGCCATGTTTCATGTACCATGTATACCATGTCGATGTCGATGTCGTGTCGAAACCGGCACAAGAGCGCGTACAGATATGAAAAATGGCTAGTGGCTAATGCCAAAGGCAAAGGCAAAGGCGAGGGCGAAGGCGAAGGCAAAGGAGAAATGCAAAGGCCCAATATTGGATCCGTGGGAAAAAAGGGCAACTCGTTCCCCTTCAATAATCTCAATCTCTCGAGGTCTTCAAGAGTTCTTTCTGTCTGTAGGTAACTCCCCTATCCACCAGCGCCGGACTAATCGCCGCACACACTAGCTGTTCAGTACAGATTTAACAACATCTATTAAACATACACTCAGAGGGGATCAAAGCATACATGTGCCTGCGGAGACTGGGATCTCGGGAGATCCACAAAGTGGACGGAGGATCTTCAACTCCTCCAACGCCCTCGCTAGCTAAGACTTTTGCATTTCAGGTGATTTCAAAGGTGAAAGTGTGTCGCGGCGGCGATAGGAGAGAGCATATAACTCTGCTTGTCTCCGCCCCATCCGCCGGTAGTGGTAGAGACGTCCATAACAATCATCAGTTCTCCAGCCGATAACAGAAGTCAAGTTGAAATTAGGGATTGTGCAGTAAAAGATTCAGGCTGGGAAGACGTGATGGAAGGATCCGTGGCAAGAGAGGAATCTCTCAATCGATGCCAGCGTAGAGATCGACGACAATATTGATAGCTCTGCAGGGAATGGGTTAGCTGTCCTGCTTTTGTGAAACACCAATTCGAACGAAGACTTACGCGACCAAGATTTCCGCAGCGATGAGAATGATAACTGTAGCTCGTTAGCAAAAGGCCATTCAACGGCTCAATGATGCTCACCAATCCATTCCAGCACTTCTCCATGTCGCCTGCTGCCTTGTTCTCTCAGGACCGCAAGTAGATCTGCCGCAGATTAGCAATCCTCACATATAGCACCAAGAATGCTGTTGCACC